CCGTCAGGGTGGAGTCCCTCAGCTCCAAGTCACAGGGACAGTCCCTGTCTCTGACCTTCCCCCCTTGCTTCCAACTAACCCCCTTCAGCTCAGCCCCATTGGGTGCCATCACCCCCCCAGGCACTGGGGTTTCCATGACTGGAAGTTTGTGCGCTTTATTAAACATCAAGCCCTCACTCTTTGGATACAATATCCCAAATTACTCGGCTGCAAGCGGAGCAGAGGTGGAACAGTGAGTATCTCGTATATATCTATATATATATATCTCTAGATATATAATCTCTGTCTATATCTTTACCTTGAAAATTAGAATGTGAATGTTACAAAACCCACTGAGTTGCCAAACTGCCAACCAAAAGTAGAAAAAAAGAATGGTTAAAGGAATCCCATGGCTATATCCTGATGTAGAAAAGGCTGTACATCCCCTCGCGCAGGCGGTACCCAGCACTAGCACTATGGCTGGTTGGTTTTCCTTTGCACAGAGTGGGGCAGTGACAGGGGGCAAATAAACCTCTTAGCCTGGGGCTGGCTTTATACTTGTTTAGCAAAGCAGTGTCCTTAGTCAACATAAAAATGACCTGAGAAATGTTACATATCTCCAGACAGTTCATTTGGAATTCATATGTACAAAGTAGAAATAAGTGATGCTCTGTGCACACACACGACACGGACGCGGGGCTCGGCGCCCGCGGCAGCCACAAGCTCAGCCAGACACATTACATTTCTCAGATTAGTTCTTTGCATTGTGTATTAATTGTACCAGTGCAATAACATTGTCAAAAAGGAGGAGCTGCTCCGGGGGCGGCCCAGGGCCTGGCGCAGCCTCAGAAAAGGGTGGTTTAAACTTGTTTTAAAGCGAGGTACGCATTAAGCAGAGCTCTGTGTTAGGGGGATGGCAGCGGAAGGCATGCGTGGCTCAGCCTCCTTCTCCTCCACAGCTTTATCCTCTGGGTCCAGCTGCTCACCACTTTTTATGCTTTCCTGGAGCTGCTGGCGCCGCTGCACCTCTGCTTTAAGGTTCTCCAAGTCTTTTTGGCTGAAGGGAAACCAGGAGGGTGGCAAACGTTAGCTCTAGGGATGGGGCGAACACAGGGACGCGGCAGCGCTCCGCGGACAGGGACCTCTCCTGCCCCAGCCCAGGCCCGGTGCTTGGTTCATCGTGTGGTTCTGAACCAGAGGCACCGGGACGTGCCCCGTCAGTGTCCACCCAGGGCAGAGGCTGTTTGTCTTGTCTAAGTGCAGGCAGTTAACATTAGTGACTACCTGTAGCCACAGGCTGTGGCCTCAGCTCAGGTCAGCTTTGTCCACCACCCTAAGACAATTTATAATAAGAGTACTGCTGTTTATAATGGGCCTAAAGATAATGATGATGAATCAGGGCTACTATTATGATCTCAGCTGATGTTCTCTGCAAACACATCCCGTGGAGCTGGGGCAGGAACACCTCTGAGCTGCACCTCCAGCACCACCCTGCCAAGCAGCCTTGGCTGCAGGGAGCCAGGGCTGTTCGTCACAGTGACTTGTAATGCAGAGGGAAGTGTTGGGTTTATGCTATCTCAGGAACACAGATAATACAAAGCCTTGATTTCTAAAGGCACAACACACAGAGGAATTGCTCTACCTTAGTGGAATGAAGAGAATTCCATTGATAATGTTGAGCTGCTCCAGGACACTGGCCATGCTGGGAGCTGTGAACTGCGGCACAAGAGAAAAAGATGTCAGAAGTCAAAACCCAGACAGAAGAACTCTGAGCTCCCTTAGCAAGTCCAGACCCCATTTACCAACAGCTTATAAAGCCCTTGGGGCTCATATGAGAGCCCGGTGGCTGTCAGGTGGCAGAATGTGTATTCTCTACCTCTGTATACATTGAGAAGCAGCACCTGGAGGCCCTCAGCCAGTCCCTGTGGGCAGCCTCCCCGTGGCAGCACTCAGTTCAATGCAGTGTAGATTTGGTTCTAAATATGTTGGGGTTTTCCCCCCCCTCCAACTGTTGTAACAGGTAAAATTGTTATTACCATTTTATGGGTTTGAGCTGGACCCCATTTCCTGGACTTGACCTGTTACTCAGTGCCAGGTCCTTATGCTCCAAGTGCTCTGCCATGAACTCCTTGGTACCCAGTTCTCTGCAGTGAGAAGAGCCCCCCCCACTCTCCGAGCCCCGTCTTGCTCTGCCCTGTCCGCTGGGAGGCAGCTCTGCTGCTGGAGCCCCTTTCCCAACCCACTGGTTCACACCCTCTGGGCCGCTGCCGCTGGAGCAGGGCAGGGACAGAGCCCATGGCACAGCCTGGTGCCATCGGCCAGGGCAGAGGCCATGGGAGCAGCTGGGGCTGGCCTGAGGGGGCTGCTCCGTTCCTGCTCCATGCGAGGTGAGGCGAGGCAGCCGCCCCACACCACCCTGCCCCACATCCCATCGCACCGCCCTTGGAAGGGGATCAAAGCGCTGGTGGAAGATGACAGCATTTTTTTGGATGAGGAAACCGAAGTACTTGTGGATTGAGCAACCTGCCTGCAGCCGGTGAGTCAGCACAGGGGCAGGGCTGCGTGTAGCTGCTCCAGGCTCCCACACCGTGAGCTGAGCTCCCTGGGTGCTCTGCAGCACAGTGGCTGCACCCACCTACCTCAGCTGGAGCAAGAGCCAGACCCACTGGGGGGACAAACGCTCAGTCCATACTGGCTACACTGTGCTATGTCCGAGCCTCTACAGGGACCTCCTGCCCACTAAGGGTCTGCTGCTGGCACAGCCACTGCCCCCTCCTGCACACGTACACTTGCACGTCCTTCAGGAGCAGTTAAACGTAAATCTCTGTCATCACAGCAAGTGCTCTCGAGAGCTCTCACGCACAGAGGTTACCTTAAGAGGCATGATGTTGGCATTGGAGCCGTTCTTGTAGATCTCGTTCATTGTGCGTTGAAGAGCGACTGCTTGCTGAGTCAGGTATTTCAAGTACTCGGAGCTCTCTTTGGTCTTTTCATGGTGTTCTCCAAGCTGCGTGGAAAAGGGAAAAAGGTACATTACAAATGGAAGCAGGCCCCAAACCAGGCGGCGCTCCCGGGCTCCGCTCGCTCAGCGTCCTACAGGAACTCCTCGGAACTGGATTTCACCTCCCTCGGCATCAAAACCAAACAAACAGGAATTCCTCTGGGAGCGTTATCACCACCAGGACACATCTGCCCCAAGCAGGAGCTGGTGGGGTGAGCACATGCCCCGCACCGGGCTGTGCCTGCAGCCAGCACCGAGTCACCGCACAGCAGAGCCCGGGCTCAGGCGCCGGTTTCACTGCAGCAGCCGGGCACGAGCGGGACAGGGACTGCCCATGGAGCAGCTCCCTCTGAGCCAGTCTGTGTCTGGTGCTGCAAAGGGCTGCCCCAGCCCTAGAGAGACGATTCCCTGGCTCCTGCTCGGAGCTGTTCCCGGCTGCAGCACTGGTTTGCAGTGGGGCTGCAAAGGGACAGGACGCAGTCAGCAGCACACGTGCTCCTACCTGGTTTTTGTAGATGGTGTAGCCTTCCTTCTCGTGCTGCAGGGCTGACCGGAACTCTGCTTTGCTCTCGTACACTCGGGCTACCAAGTGGTGGCTGAGGGAAAGAAAAGGGTTTAGAGATGCCTTCGTGAAGAGGAAACAATCCTGCACTGCAGCGGTCATGACTCTCACCGAACAGTGTTTAGGCTGGAATGTTTAGGTCTTAACACCAGTGTGAAAGGAGACAGACACTGGACTCCCGAATACAGCTCCCTGGGAGTTATTTCTTCTGGGATTAAGATACTAAACTGCTTTGGGTTGGGGTTTTGTTGGAATGCTGAGAAGTGACCCTTCAGAAGTAAAGGCTGAACTGGGGAGTCTTCCTCCTGCACACAGGAAAGCTGAAGGCCACAGCTGTGAACTGAACGGGGGCAGCACATCCGCAGGGACCCCTCGGGAGCAGATTTGTTAACTGGAGAAGGGAGCAGCCATACGCCCTTCAGAAAAGGTCTGTTTCTTTCTTAGAAAGCAAATGTGTGAATTACTTGATTATTCACAGCCCATTAAAGATCTCCCAGCACACAACCAACCAGGAAAGCTGGGACCAAGTCACCTGGGCTCCCTCCAGCTGGGAGAGCTGCCCTGGCTTGGGCTGTGCTGCCTTAGTATTCCTGGAATGAAAAAAGAAGATTCCTGGTTGGGTAGCATTATCCAGCGGGAGGGGATGAACATCCTCACGCATCCCAGTGCACGGAGGGAAGGCAGGATGCTCTCTGCACAACGCAGATCCATCAAGGCTGGAAAACAAGTCGGGCTCTTGTGGGTGCTTCCTGAGATTTATTTCCACCCTGTTGCAGAGCAGATGGGCTGCAATGTGGTGGCACTAATGAGGAGGGGCTGCTGTGTGGCTGGTTGGTCGTGTGCCCGTTCAAGGGCAGTGCAGGCAGCTCTGAGAGCTGAGTGTCAGAGCAGAGCCTGGAGGTGCTGCGTGCTCACAGCTCCCTTGGAGCCTGCTCAGTGTTTTATTCAAACACAGGCTTTATGGAAAGGGACAAAAGCAAATTACTTCTCAAAGACAGCTCCCCGAGGGCTCAAACAATTAAATCTGAGTGTTTGTGTATCATCCAGCTCCCAGGGTAATTCCAGTGGCCTCACTCGCCAGCCTTCACTTGCTGCGTGTTTTTTGAGAGACCACAAGGACCAGATTTTGGGGCACCCAGCATTACAGCAGGTCCCACAGGTAACTAAGAACAAGGGATCTCTGTCTTTCAAGACAACAAACCTGGGTGCTGCACCATGGCCTTGAGAGCAGCCCAGCAGTCCCGAGGAGCCTGGCAGCAGGGATGAGACCAAAGCTCTGGTTTAAGAGGACACAGCTGGGCGAGACCCTCCCGCCTGAGCACACAGTGAGCCTCCTCCAGCCCCGCGCTCCAGAGCCTCACCTCAGTGCAACTTTCAAAGACTTGGAGCCGTGGTACTTGGAGCTGATGGCCAGCGCGTTCTCCAGGAACCGGAGGGATAGGTCGTACTCCATGACCCCGTGGAGCACCAGCCCGATGTTGTTCTGCACAGAGAAGCCATCGAGGCATTGAGGAAAGGGAAATTCAAACCACGCAGTTACTGCTTTGTAAACGGCAGGACCACTCGGGAGCTTCACTGCCGGAAAGGCCAGAAGCCCCCAGCAGGTATCCATGGGGACACAGCACACGGCAGGAGACCACTCTCCCCCTTGGCAGCTCAGTCCAAACAAGCCAGATGAGAGAGCAAGAAACTAAGGAATTTTCCCCAAGGATTACAGGTGCTCAAACCCACGTCTCCTGTGTCCAGGACTGACCTGCCCAGCTGAAGAGTCAAATCCCTTTTCTCCATCCTTCTGGTACCAACCAGTAGTAACCCAGGGAGGAAAGAGCAATGCCTAAATGTTTATTTCAAATAGGCAGCACTACGAGCATTTTAAAGGCCAAGAGGCTTCTTGGAGATTAGAAACGAAGATTCTTGAAAAAACCTGAAGGCTCTAAAAGCTTACTCACATCCAAGAGTGCCATTTCTGGGTGATCCTCCCCGAATACCAACAGCATGAGGTAGCGCGCGCGGTACAGCAAGTTCAGTGCTGTGGAGAGCTGGCTGTTTGCAAAGCAGTACAGAGCAAGGTGCATCTGCAACACAAGGAGTAACCAGCATTAATGGTTTTCACTTACCGCTCCAAAGCAAACTCATCTCCTCTCTCCTCCTTTCTCCAGGTGCACACAAACAGATGTTCCTTTATGGTTAAAGAGGATTTCAACCGCTCAGACAAGCCTGTGTCTGCTGGTTGATTCACAGCTCCACTGAGGTATCACGTGAGACCAGTGCTGAGGAAGCTGCTGAAGTGTTTCACTTCAGTTTCTCTTATGCACCTCAAGGAGTATTTCAGAGTTGACCTGCATGTGTGGGATACCTGGATGTGCTTTTGGGGGATTCTTTTCCCCTCTCCATTTTTGACATAACCCAGGGCAAAGCCAGCAGAATTGATGAATATAAGTAATGTTCAGCAGACAAAACCCCAAAATTCTGACCCACGTAGGACACTGACCCTGCAGCACACTTGTAATGAAACACTTTGGTATTTGGTTTGCAAAGTTGTAAGATACAAAACTTAAGATAAAAGTGGAAGATTCTGGGAAGGACATGGCAGAACTGCAACTGTTCTCTAGATGCAGACAGGGTTTAAGGCTCACAGGCTCCAGGAGGACACAGGAGGTGCTGCTGCTCCCCCCACAGCCTGTACTCACGTATTCTTGAATGGTGTTGGGGTGTTCGATGCCCAGGACCCTCTCGCTCATTAGCACCGCTTTCTGCTGATTACTTAAGGCCTGAACAGAACACAAGACCCAAGAGCAAGTCACACGGAGCCGTGCGCCGGAGCAAGCAAGGATGGGGAAGGGATGGGAGGACTGAACGGGCTCTATCCAAGCCCTTGCTTACCTCTGAATAATCTCCCATGATATAGTTGAGACGAGCCAGCAGCCTCAGGCAGGCACAGATTTCTACATGCATAGCACCATACACATTGTTGAACAGGTTTAAGGCTTCATTGATGAGCTCACAGCCCTCCTTCAAGAAACCTGAAACAGGCGATGTTCAGATCCATGTGCATGTTAAATAACCCCTGCACCACTGGAGGAGTGTGCTGCCCGTGAGAACTGTAGTGGGATGTAGCCACAGGTCACTGCCTTGTGTAAAGGCTGAGACCCAGAAGGACGCTGCTGCCTTGTGTACTGGTAGAGGGCAGTGGGCCATGCCACACGTGCCCTGCTCTGCCCTCCACCAGCAGCTGCCTGAAGAGGCAGAGGCGTGTTGGGTCTGTACCTTGCTGAACCTTTGCTTGCCCGCTCTGGAAGAAGTGGAAAGCATCTGAGGCTTTGGGGTTTACGTGCTTCACTACAGGGAAGATGTTGAGAATGTCCTCTTCTGTGAAGGTGGGCTTGTGCCTGTTGTCAAAGTTGTACTCCTTCAG